AAAGAGAAAGACTGTAAATTTTTATTGGCTGGGCAAATCAATAACTGATAAGAGGAAAAAAGTGGACCAAAGATCAAACCTTCAGGCACACCACAGCTAATTCTAACCCAATTTGGTAAATAATCATCAATTTCCATTCACTGGTATTGCTTTCTCAAATATTTTTCAAACCATTTGTAACAATTTTGTCTCAGACCATTTTTTTTGTCAGAAGAATTTCCTGATTAACGGTATCAAATGTTTTTTTAATCCAGAAAAAAGGTCTTCGTTGCTCTCGATCAATTGATTTTAGGTTTTTCAGTAAAGTCAGACAAATCATCGATAGTTGAGTGCTTTTGCTAGGACTTAATAGAGTGCATTTTTTTACTGCAATAAATTAAATCAAGTTTTTTTGAATATGAGTGCTTTTTTTACTATTACTAGTTCAGAATTTTTTCTCCAGACTAAAAGAAGGAAAATAGGCCTTGTTTTCATCCGCCCTCGAGCTACCTTTATGAAGAGTAATAACTTAAGCTTTTTTTAAACCACTAAAAAAATTCCCCTTGAGAATGACTTATTGATGAACTTCAATAGATGCTCAGCCACGGCTGTCTTTGACACATTGATGACTAGGTTATTTACATTGCCGTCTCCCGGTGACGTTTTATTTTCAAATTTTTCAATTGTTTAGAAGACTGCTCTAACAGTTACTGTGGCAACTCTGTCATTCAATGTCTTGCCATTTTTAAATTGTTAATTGTTTCAGCAACATCTAAAATAGTTGGTATGGTGTTCCCAATATTTGAGCAAGAAATAAAACGAGGACTTATGCTTTGATGGCTACTTTTGCCAGTTAGGTATTTTTAAAACTAGCACAAATCTGGAGTCCCCGATACGTCCCTAGAACTTAGAACGATAAAATTCTTTTACTTTTTATGGTTTCTTTTTCTACTTTCTGACGCAAAAACTTGAAACTGATGAGAAGCTCTATGCATTCTCTATTTTTTGACCAATTGCGGTGAGCTAAGTTGCGATTTTTTTCTTACCGCTAATCCACTTAACATCATTGACCGCCTTGCACTGTTTTCTTCGAATAGGAGCGAATGTTTTAGTTACAGTTGGAAAAGTTTTCTGAAACCGATTTAAACATATGTTTAAATCATCTGGTAATGTTTTCATAGTTTGAGTTCGAAAAATATATGTCTCCACCAACTTGTTATTCTTGTGGAAAGAATTATCTGGTAACCGTTTTGCTTTAATGCTTTCCAGATCATTGTGATACTTCCAGTTGAGTGAAACTGGCTAGTGATCAAGACCACAAACTGATAAATCAGGGGTGTTTTGCGTATTGAAATGATCATTGCACGATCAAAAAGTTTCAGAAATAAATCCCCGCAAATAAAAAATATTGGTGTATAAAATGATGTTATATGCTCTTGAAAAATATCGAATGCTTCAATAAAGGTCAGTTTATCAATTTTGGGTGGCCGAGAAATTAATACAAGATTGAACTTCAGACCGTTTTTATTAATACTTGCGAGAACTGCATCACATCCAGCTATCTGGATAAATTATATCAATAATATTATAAATGTTTCTTGTTTGTTTGATAGCGCCTCCACCTTTTCAGTCACGAACTTAGATGGCATATTGCTTAAAAGCTTTTACTAAATACATTTTTCTCTTTTCTTCATCGTTCAACCAAATTTCAATTAGGCAAAGTATAGACGGAGGAGACTCCAGGCAACAGTTCATTGCTTCCAATTTGTCAACATTCTTTCGATGTGAGCGAGCATTTATGTCAAGTAAGGTTATCTCACAGTGAGGTGTCTTGTTGTGGGTTGGGGGACGGAAAAATATCTCTGTCCAAACAATTTATCACAGCACCGAAAGTATAATTCATTATTTTTTCTCTTTCGAAAAGTTGATCAATCTTGTGTACCCATTGGTCGTCCTCCCACTGACATTTTGTAGATCTTTTTTTGTCCAGGTAGAGCTAATTTTGGAGTCATTCTTGAAACGGAGCGGCGGTTTGCTGAGCTCTTCGAATACTCGCACTCGGTTGAACTCCGGAATGTCTCTTAAGTCTTTTTTTTTCAATTTGTTAATCTTGGCGCATCTCGTGAAGTTTTAACGATGATAGGTCGCTCTCCGTTGCCACGAAAGGAAAGCCGATGCACAACTGCTATGTCTTTGATGTCCAAATGTGCATTTTTTGCTTCGTTCAACTCGAAAAGTTTTCGATCTCCACTCCGTTGGTTTTTTTTGGGTACTCTAATGACTTTCACGTTGTCTTACGACTATCTCCAGTCGCTCAGCCTCTGAAAGAGTTTCAATGTTAACAAAATGTTTTTGCTAGGCTAGCTTCTCATCCAATGTTTTGTTTGTCTACTTTGAAAGTTGATAGGGATTCTTCTACAATTCTGACTGTTGCTCCAATTCTTCGTCCAGTGGGCTGAGAACTGTACAGGGTCGTTTGTTGTCATTCCCTCGGGATGCAGGACTTTGATTCTGGAAGAGCATATTAGGCATATCACTGTTTTCCTTGGAAGGTGGTTTTTGATTCATCAAGATCATTTCAGCTTCTGAAACTATTTGTTAAGTTTATAACAACAGTTAGGCTAATCAAGTTTATTACTTAATATCCTAGCGATGAAAATATGCGATTGCAAAGACGGACTGTTTGCAGGGACAAAATTTTCAATTATGGCCAGGTATTTAAAACAAAGAGACGAAATGGTACGTTGACAATCAGTTGAAAAGGTTTATAAAACTCTGTTAAAACGGCCAAAATGCAAGAACAAAAAAGTGATCTTCCAATTTGAAAGCCTTGATACAACGGGGTTTGAAACCGGACCCATTGACGTCAATTCACTTGCCCCAATTATTTCGCTATTGTGCCTTGCCTTAAATTACTTTCCAGCTCATTGTATTCTTAGTTATCAGCTATCAAAGAAGTCCCATTTTGTTTGGTACTCCGTTGTTGAGCGACATGCACAACTAATTTGATAGTTATATCTAAAAAATTAATCAAAACAATTTAACTATATATTGGAATCTCTTTTGGACTCCTTTCAATATCCTCAGCAATGTTTAACCCTCCTTCATATTTCAAAATTTTCCTATGGGAAGGCTATGTTTTTGGTACTAGGGTAGTATGGGGGTTATAATAGAAGAAAACTACTGCTTACACTTTGTATCCAAAGTTTATAGTGTTATAAAATTTTTCTTTTTGGGTGTTAAAACCAATAAAAGGTGCATAATTCGAATCATGGTCGGACGCTTTTGCTCTGTCTGTTTTTTTTTGGCTTATGACATGCCTCTCCATTTGATTTATACCCGTTTCCGATGCGTTTTGTTTTACTAAAAGTTTGTTTCAGTTCGGCTAATTAAACTTTTGAACAACATATTACGATATTATCCCTAAAAGGTTTTGAACTGCTCGTGGCTTCCTGGTTTTCTACTTACTGGTCTGGTTTTTGTTCAAGGGGCTGATTTAAGGTTTGCCGAATAATGCAATTTTGCTTCCAAACTTTGTACTGGCTAGTATGTTTCGAGAAATTTTGCTTCCGGTATTGATTTTTCCGGCTAGTATCTATGTACTAACGGAAACAGTTCCGTGAAAATAGAAAAGCGAATCTTTGTTTCCAGTCTTTGATGACTGACATGTTTTTGTTGAAAAGTGAAATTGCTTTTAATTCGCTCACAATTCAACTAATGGTGTTGAGCGATTCTTGTTTTTTTCTTCTTTGTTTTCTTCTTTGTGATTGTGGACACAGTTATTGTGCATAAATCTCCGCTCTCAAGTCTAGTGAAGGGTAGTTTATGAGTACTGAAGTGAAAGCGTGTAGGGTCAGCATCACCTTTTTTATATTAAATAAATACGCGCTTGTTTAAAAAGAATCTATTTGGTACAGCTGAGAAGCAGAAACACTCAAATCCTTAAAGACTGAAAAACGGCAAAAAAAATTCAAAAAGAACTCAAAGCTGGATGGAAAATGGCTCAAATTTTTGTATAATGCTAAATCAGTTAATGTTGTTTTAAAATTCGATAGTTATGCTGAATTATTTTCTGATTCTTTAAATAGACCAATTGTAAAAAAAAGTTCTGTGAGTAAAAACATTTCTGAATGTTTTTATACGCTTGCGATTAGCAACCGTTATCAAACCAGAATACCTAGTTTTTCGGGTTAACAACTTGTTTATTAGTAATTACTTGTATCCTGGTTCATCATTAATTCAAACTTCTATGCGTGTTCGGCACTTAGCCTCGAGGTGATGATTATAAGTTCCACTCATTAGGAAATATGAAAAAAATGCGGATCTAATGCTTCAGTATTTAAAAGGTTTGAAATTTCATCAAGCAATGCGAAGTTTTTAAACAATTAACATCATAGCAAATTACTGGTAATGGAACAAAGAAAGGTTGACAATGGAACAATGTTGGAAATTCGGCATCTTCGAATCCGAAAGGGCTTGATGAATAAACGACGATGAAACTTAGCCTTCAATCCATTCCGTTTTCGACTATTTAAATATTAAGCTATACATTACAATCTAGGCGAATTCTACAAATCTTTCGAATGCGATATCAATTGGTGACTTTGATTATATTCAGCCAGCCTTTTTGACGCTTTAGATTAGATTTTTTTAGGTTTAAACTGCGGACCTGTATGCGATAATAAGCTGAAATCAGCAGCTGGTTAGCTTTCCGTTTTTCAGGAAAAATAAGCTCTATCCAAATATATGCGTAACTAAAATTTACGTAATTGGTATGACTTTTCTTATTTAAGTTGCAATAGTTTTTATTCATTTTTCTACGCTACGGGCATAGTGTGACGTCATACTTCACTTCGCCACAATGGGGTGAAAACTCCCGACGAGTTAATTATTTCACGCTATTTTTTGGCTAGTTGCTCTTCAGTTTTATTCGTCTAATTAACTGGCAATCTGTCAATCGAACGTTTTTCACGCTGATTTTGAAAACATTGAACTTGACGGAGTTGTCAACTAGTTCGGATTTGAACTGAAACGAGCTTCAGACAAGTACATTCACCTGCACCAAGCTAGGCATTTGAATTTGACAGTTTAGCTATCAACTAATTTAATTTTAAATGGCCCAAAGTGTTTTTTTTATAAGTCAAGTAATTATCAGACGCTCAATTGAAAATCATTTTTGTGAGTATATTTCTGGAGAAAAGTTGAACACAATTTGGATTTGATGTGAAGTTCAAAATGTGTTTCCTAAGCGATTCCTGTTTTTTCTTTTTGATTGTGGGGGCTGTTGCTGTCCATGCATCCCCGGCAGGCTGTCCCGTGGAGGGTAGGTCTGTGAGGACTCCACCCAGGGGCGGAAATGTGTCCCCTATCAACCAGTTTCTGGAGACAGAAGTGAGAGCGCCGGGCGTCAACATCAGCGTAAGTCCGATTCTATTATTTCATATCTTATTCTGCTCCATTTGTTCTGAGTATTTTTCTTTATTCAAACCTGTCAAGAAGTTGATGCGGAATCACGAAATATTAAGAAAGTTTTTGACTCTTTTTACAGATAAAGTTTTTTAAAAAGAACTTTTTAAAAATGTTGTAGGCTCGAAAAATAAATTTTTAAAATAATATGAGCGTTTTCCAGAAAAAAGGCATTTTGTATTGTTAATAAATGAATAAAGAACTACTACTGATTTGAATGAACAGTTTGTGGTGTTGTGTGTTTAGAAATACCTGACTGACTATGGGTACATGAGTGCGGAGGACGAGGGGGACGAGGCGAAGGAGACAGAAGCCATCTAGTGAGTAACAAGAGTGTGATAGTAATGATACGACAGTTGGGTGTCTGAACTATTGATGGGATACTGGAGAAACATGTGTAGACGCCAATCTGATTGCAAACATAAGCACATTTGTTTAATTTGGCAATAGACTTTCCACTAAAAAATCCGAATTCTTTTCTTCTCTAGAGTTCCAACTGTCAAACTTGTTCAAAAGGTGTGTAACTAATAATGAACGAGCAAGATAGATAATTAGCTTAGTGATTTTTTTTGAATAGGAGAAATGATTATGTAATCTTATTAGCATCCTGAAGTTATCTAGAAATCTGTATCAAAAACTACGACCAGGCAAACAAAAAAGGTTTTTTCTTTTTTTTTCAAAAAAAAATGAGAGATTTTATTTGCTAAAACAGTTTTCTTGTCCAAAAGCCATAAAATATACCAGGAGTGAGTAAGCATGATGAATGGCTCCCCGCTTTTTCGGACAACAAAATGTTGTCAAAAGCTAAGCATTTTTTCAACTTATTTGTTTTTCCAAAAAAAATAACGGGAATAACTTTACAGACATGAATACTACAGGGACCCAACGGCTTAGTGTAAAGAGTTATAAAAATGCGCATCCCGTTTTGTCGAAATTTGATTTTCCAAAAATCACGAGCTCAACTAATTTTTTTCTCCATTTGTGTAGCCAGTTCCAGAAGTTGGCGAATGTAAACCCGACTGGACGTCTGGACCTGGAGACAGTGTTCTCCATGAACAAGCCCAGGTGTGCGAATGAGGACAAACTGCCAGGCAAACACGTGGAGTACTCCAAGTTCTTCGAGGCACCAGTCGAGGCGCAGAACGACTCCCTCTGGAGATTCAAACTCGGACCCACCGGTAACAACTATCCAATCATCCAAACCCCTTTAACCCCCCCCCCTCTCCCACCCTCTGCCCACTTCCTTCAAAAAAGACCCATTTTGGCCCTCCTCGAGCTAAGATTTCCACTAGCGAGGAGTTATTCTTTAAAACTGCTCAGCTGTACCTGAGTAAAACTCGGTTCTAAGTTTTGATTGGCTAAAATATAACGAATCAAATCACATCCAGTATATTTTTCAGAAATTCATATTTTATACAAGCAGAGATTTGTGTTGTTGAGAAATTAAATCTCAGGTATTTGAAATAGATGTTATGATAAATAAAAATGAATATTTCAGTTTGGCCTAAAACTTCATCACATTCATCAGTTTTTTTCCAAAAACAGATGTTCCAGTGCTCTTTGGTTAATTTTTTACCCAATCGCAAAGTCTATCTGCTCTAGCGCTTTCATTTTTAAATTCCCACTGATATTTGAAAATTTAAGAAACTATTTAGAATCTTTTGGCTTAAAATCGATTTTGTCGAGAAACTTTATTCGATCTCAAAATAGTAGTTTCTGTAAAATCATACAAATTGTTCTTTTTTAATGCTGGCCGCTTGCTGAAATTTTAATCTGAAATTGTTTTTGGAGATTATACATTCAATCTTTTTGGCTAATTACCCAATTTGGTTAAAAACAGTCTGATTCGAATAGTGAGTCCTTCAAACATATCTCGTTTTAACTAATGCCTCTAATTTTTGTCGATAGAAAAACAAACAACTCAAGAAGGAGCTTGTTTAACTTAAACAGGTTTGATAAAGTTCTATTTCAACGTTTAATTTAGTATGAAAAAAGTGTCTGTAACAATCTCTTTTTTTCTTCAGGAAAGTGGAAAGACAAGGATATCACGTGGAAGATCAACAGGTACACGAATGATCTGCCCAGAGAGACTGTGCATTCTACGATGCAGAAGGCATTCCAGGCGTGGGCGACGGTGTCCGGACTAACCTTCCGGGAGGCCACTCAGTGGGAGGACCCAGACTTCGACATCCAGTTCGTGGCTGGAGACCACGGGGACGGATCTGCATTCGACGGACCAGGTTCACACGCTTCCCTCAATTTCTTAAAACGCCTGAAAAAACCTCTGAACTTCTGAACTGAGTCTGACTCTCCGGACTTTCTGGAGTCTTGCAATTTGAATGAAGAAATTATGAAAATTAGATTAGATAGGGTTCAAGTTCAAATGATAATACATTATTCAGACTAAATTGAGGCTAAGGTCGCAAATTTTTTCTTCTATTGTGTTTTTTTTTCATAATTTAGATGCGGTCAAATCCATTGTTTTTGGTCATTTTCAACGTAAATTTAACGTAAACCCTGTTTAAAATAAACAATAAAAAGATTAATGAGTTTCCTTTTTTCACTGGCGAGATTTGAGCAATCTCTCTCCAAAAATTAAATGAAAAATTCAAGCAGTAAGGCCTGTATGTACTATGTTCAAATCTGATTGGCTGAAAATATTGCTTGTAACCAAGTGAACGATCTCCTCCCTCATTTGATTTAGGGGGAGATTGTTCACTTGGTCCTCGTAATGTTTCAGGGGGTGTTTTGGCCCATTGCTTCTACCCGCAGAACGGAAGAGCCCACTTCGACGACGACGAAACATGGTCTGTGGGCATTAACGAGCCCAACGCCATCAACCTGGAGTGGGTGGCCATACACGAGTTCGGTCATGGCCTGGGTTTGGACCATAGCGAGATATTCGACGCAGTCATGTACCCCTTCTACCCGAGCTTCACTGAGACCATCAACTTGAGGCCGGACGATATCGACGGAATCCAAACCCTCTATGGTTCTTTATTTTTCTTATTTTGAAGGCAATTTGAAGTTGATTACTTTTGTTGCTGTAAAACAAGATGTCATGGTATTGGTAACTTCTCTGCACCAGTCAAAGTCCTTATATTAAAACAAAAACTGAAATTATATCGAATTATTGCTGTAAGTTATCAATTGAAATGATGGAATTATCGATTTTGTATCATCATCTCAATAAAATACATTAAACCTCACGATATTAATATTTTACTAAATCGAATTCGATCAGATCTTAAATTCAAAATAATTGTGTTTTGAACTAAAAAAAAGGCAATTTTTCTCAATTTTGTTATAAACAATTTGACCTTGATCTGGGCTTAGAATGGTGATATTTTTAGGACCTGGAACTGGAGGAAACGCTGCTACTCAAGCTCCAGTTGGGACCACCCCAAGACCAACTACTGTTCCTTCCAGAGGTGAGTCTTTCAGTTTGTAGGATTTATACCACATCATGCTAGTTGTGAATAGTTCCTGTGCCTTTAGATCTATTGATGACATCAATTAAGCTTAGGCCCCAGTTTACGGAGCTATAGAGCGTAACGGTTAAGAAACCACACCATTCAGCTTGGCATGAATATTCTAGAACACTAAGAATTCTGAATCTGGAGTTTTCGGAAATTTTCAAGTTATTGATTCAGACTAGAGCAACTTGATTGAACTTCAAGGCTATACAGTACCTGACCGTTTTTTGTCTGCAGCTTCTCGCGAATTTTTTCATTTTTGAAACGAGCTAATTAAAATGAACAAAATTCTTTTTGTCACAATAAGCCGATGCCAAGGTTGAGAGTTTTGCCATGGTGGAATCCCGGTGGCCAGTCAATAAGCAGAATGGTCTAAGAGCAGACAAACAGAAAATTTTTTTCAAATTTTATAATCTAATCGGTAAATTAAGTATAAGAATTTTCAATATTACCGAAGAAGCAATAGTTTATGCATAATTTGAATAACTTAATCGAGAATGCTTTTTAAATTCAATTTGAGAAAACTTGATAAAAAAATCAATTCATGCATATTTTATTCAGTTTCTTGGTATTGTTGACGATTATAATAATTGTTTTTTCAATTAGTCCAATTAAATCAATAAAAGTTAACTTTTTTGTATTTTTCTGCTCTTGGACCCATTCTGCTCTTAGACCATTCTGCTTTTTGCTCCGCCTCCTGGAATCCCTCATACGCGAAGGACCGAATGCGCGAAAAAAAAAATCAGCCAATCAGTAATCTAAAATTTGGAAAGCAAGTAAACATTTCCAGGGACTGAATATTAAATTGGCCGATTATAAAAACGGCAGAAATACGCAAAACTTGCAAATTGTCACTGACCGCCGCCGAATTGGAACAAATTTTATATTTCAAGGGTTTCGTTATGAAAGAAACAAAATATAGCTTCATTTAATTCATTTTAATTGAATGGCAATTGTTTCTTTTTAAAAATTGACTTTCGGCTAATTTTGTTTTCGGTCTTTCCCTCATGAGTTTTTTTGCTCAACCGGTCCTTCGCGCATGAGAATAGCCCCCTTTTGCCATTGCTGTTTGAATGAAATATAGAAATGGAACTTGCATTTTACTGTTTTTTCTTAAAAGCTTCTTTGAATCTTTATTCACGTTCTCAATTAATTGAAATAATTCTAAGTTTCATCGCTTGATGGCTTACTTAGAATTGTTTTTTGCAAACCGATTGATGCTCTGAAATATCTTGACTTAATTCGAAATTGAATTACTTGATGATGTTGCTCACAAGAATTTACTGTTCGCAAACCGATTCATACCATGAAAAATCTTTAATTAATTCGAATTTTCATTGCTTAATGATGTTTGGTCAAACAATTTAGATTTGGCAAAGTAGTTACTGCTATGAATTTATTATTTTTTAAGCTCCGTCAATCGACTCAAGCTACAAAATTATTTGCGAGAAGACCCATGCTTATAAAACATAATTTTTTCGAAACTTCATCGATTCTTGAGGTTGTTCAAAAAACTTGTATTTTTTGAGCCGATTTTTTGCTTCGAAATAAACTGAAGCTTTTACAAGTTTCATCTCCTCGTGAGTTTGCTTTAGAAAATTAATATTCATCAATTAAAAAATCCAATTAGCGGCGTTTTTTCTGGATGACATTTTAGTAACTTGGGGCTTGAGTAATTTGCTGCAGAAATCTGGCTGCTATTAAGTATTATTTCGCTTGAGTTTAAAAAATTGCTGCAAGCGCTGGCTTCAGATATGAAATATTGTTATTATGTACTTTTTACACAAGCAATGCTTATTCTATAGTATGAACTATCTTTTTTTCCAACCTAAGTCGCAAACTTTGTTGCGACGCAAATGTTGTTGCGATAAAATATGATCATTTTGAAAGTGTTCATTTTTATCAATAACGAGCTATTAAGTACAGCCAATGCTAAGGATTTTAACACAGACTATTCTTTTTCTGACTTTCGTAACCAAAGTAACGGAATAATTATGCTCGGGGTGGTTTTTTTCTTCAGACAGATTTCGACTTTAACTAGCAATTTTTGACGTTTTTTTACATCATTCAAAGAGTATTGTTGTCCTTAACTTAAATTTGGAAAGATATTTCACCTGTGATCAATTTTTGTAAAGTCATGGGGGTTCAATAACTGCCAATTTGGGACAATTAACGCGCGATATATTTCGCGCTATTAACGCGTAAGCGGAGATTTAATCCGTGAAAGAAAACGTTCCAAATTGGTTGAAGGAAGCTTATTTGCCTTAATTGATTTGTTACTAGGAGCGAATTTTATGACTTTGTACTTGATATGGCGTGTGGGGGGATGATTTTCACAAAAAATTTCAAATTAAAAAAAATTCATTTTATTTTTATTACATTAATTTTTTCATGCTATTACTGCTCCATAGTCTGCTCTATAAATTGAGGCATGTTAGTTGGTAAATTTCTTTTTTTCAAATTGGCTGGTACTGTTAATGCGTCATAATTGGCGTGCGTCACTTAAGAAATTTTGTAGACTCAACGTTTTAATCATTCAGTTTTTCCCAGTAGCGATATCGGTCATATTTTTGCTTGTATATGCGAAGTGCAACTTTTCCTCTGTGTATTAATTTGAAATTCCCCCTTCAAAGCAAATGAATCTCCTTAAAGGGTTAAATAGCTGGTATAATAGTCCTTTTCCTCATAATTTTTCGCAGTCCTAAATAATTACAGCGAGGAAATTTTTTAAAAGAAAATGACTACTTGTAGGTCATTCTTCATCACATGGACCCTTCGCTGGGAGTTCATCGCAACCCCGGTCTTGTCCGGTACCCACAATGAACGCCGCCTTCGTCGACCACCTCGGTCAGGTGCAGATGATTTCCGACGACGAAATCTGGAGCTTCACAGATCGAGGCGTGAATACTCTGAGTCCTACCCAAACGTGGAGATACAACATGTACTATCCACGAGACGTGAATGCAGTCGTGACTGTTGACTCGGGTCTCACTTACGTGTTCTCGGGAATGCATGTGTTTGAGTTCGACTACAGAAGTCAATTCCCTGCTCTGAAGTACGTCGAGTACATGGGAATCAGTACGGATACCAAGATTGACGCGGCATTGCTGTACCCTACCAACAAAGCCATCTACATTTTCCAGGTAAATGGTGTGTAGTAGATCTCAAAATATGAATATTTTTAGAAATTTTTTCTTCGGGTGTGTTTTAGTTTTTTTCCTGTTTTTCACGCAAAAACAGGGACGACAAATAATCATCGGAGTGGGTTGTGATAAGTCATACTATAGACCTTTCAATCGTGATTCGATAAACATTAAAATTTTGTCAAAAAGTTCTTATGTCGAGATCCGATTTAAAATTTTGCGTTTTGGCTTAATTTCGAGCGAGTAAAGTTAAGTTAAGTTAAGACGGTTTGTATATAAGGGAAAGGACCAACGTAACTAGCTAATCAGCTCTTCGCGAGAAGCGCCGTTGTACCCCTGTTTAAGATCTACAGGCATGTTTTTGGTTATTTTTCAGTCAATTTTTGTATCTAAGTTTTCGCTCAGTTCATCTCATCACGCCACGAATCAAAAAGTACACTATTTGAAAAAGATTTTTTTTGGAGTTTTTTATCATAGTTATCAGAGTTTTCTGTGCTACTTGCGCAGCAACCGGCTATCCTTACTCTTATTTAGCCTCACTTGAAGCTTGTTTAGATTTTGTCAAATCAATATGTTGATGAAGGCTAATGAAATAAGTGAATTTTCGATAAATGAAGTAGTTTTTTGTTTTATCATCAAGAAAAGTTGAAAAGTTGGTTATATTCCGTTCATTTATAGAACTGTTTGTTGACAATATTGTTTCACACGCTTATGCCATTTCATAGGGAACCCAATACTACAAAGTTGACCCCACAACTCTCGAAATTGAGCCTTCGTATCCGAGACCAATCTATCTGTACTGGTCTGGAGTGCCGGACAATCTGGACGCAGCGTTGGCCTACAAAGGAGATGTGTACGTGATCAAAGGAGACCGCTACTGGAAGTTCGACACTGTCACCAACGAGGTTCCCGCTGGATACCCGAGGTCTGTTAACGAAGACTGGTTCAACTGCGACAGTCAGATGTCTGGAAATATCCAGGGAGAGCCATGACTTGATCTCAGAAGCAGCACAGAGTTCGAAGTCGAACTTCAAACGGATGATATTGCATCTTCAACCATTATACCTATTGTAAATTCATTTAACATGTTTGTTTTGCTGATGGTAATAGAATTTATGATGTAATATGCATAACTGTAAATACTTTTTGTCCCTTGTACATTGTGAATCAAACCAAACCAAGAGTGGTTGCTGAACGAAATCGTTAATTGTGAATACTTTAGCTAAATAAATATTAGAATGCATTTTTTTCCTTAGAAAAGACTTCATGTTTACCTTTTTTTGTTGAAAATCGTTTCCTAATAAACAAAAACATACCAGACTGTTACTGTTTTTACACAAAATAAGATGATTGATTTTTGAAACTTGGAGAATAAATTTACAAATCATGGGAGACAACATTGATTGAATAGTCTTTTCCGAATTTCAATTCCGATCTCGAATTGTGAAACGGCTGCAGTTCCTCAACGACTTGTGGATCGACGCCACAAATCTTCTTCAAATGTTTGTGCACAGTCCAAAACAGAGCACTGTTCACATTGTCAATTGAAACTTCTCTGGCCCTGTGACAATGGATGGTGTTTGTGACGCTGTTGCGACGCTGGTAAATGCTGAACTCGGACCCCGGCTTCTCGCCGTCCAGTGTTTTCTCAGAAGTGCCGGTGAATAGAATGAGCACTGATGGGTCGTGGTGGAGGCATGAAAAGATTCGGCCCAGTGCTCGCTTGGTCGAATCGACTGCTGATCGCTCTGCATTTTCCAGGGCCATGCAAACTATGAGATGGTCCAGCTTGCTCCTAAATTGAAGCAGCAATCTTATGAACAGAATAAACAAACATGCAAGTATGATAGTACTCTGCAAAAAACTATGAATTATAATTCCCCTTTTTTGGCAAAAGTTCATAAAGTTCTTATGGGATCTACTAAAGAATTGCTATCTATAAATAAAAGCAGTAAATTTTAGCACTAGAGCAATCTTTTGAAAATTCGTATTTTGCTGAATTCTGATTGGTCGAAAATTCGACTAACTTAATCTTCTTAACAATTAGCAATTTTTTGAAAGCGCGGGGGGGGGGGGGGGGGGCGAATTGCTAAGTAGGTCCTTGAAAGTGTTCTCTCCTTACTCTTTAAATAGCGATTCGTATGTTTCCTGGAAAATTGTGGAAGTTTCGGTCCAGTTTTTGTCGTTGGATTTGAAGAGTGCGTGGTTGAAATTGATCATTTTCTCCTTCGAGAGTTCAATCTTCATCTTCGAGTGCCAATCTTTCATGCCACTCAAAAAGTACTGCTTTCGGGTCGGCATCGCTAGGAATGATGTTTTCTCCGCTTCCTCTCCCTCTTTCTTCTCGCTCGAGTTTTCTTCCTCGTTTTGTTTGTCTCCATCCTTTTTAGAAAGATCAGTTTGGCTCCTTTTGGGTATCCCAGCTGCATGCAAAAATGTAACTCAAAATACTGCAATAAATTCTTCAAATATTTGAAAGCATGCAGAAAAATAGAACAATAGTAACAAGTTTTCCCAACAAAGTATTTCCAGAATGCATATTTCAATAGTATAGCCCATAACCTGAACACTAAACATTTTGATATATAAGCTGACAGTCTAGAGGGAAAAATACATAAACCATACAAACACATATGCACTTTTATCTCTAACTTGCAGCTTCTGTGACGGTTTTGAGGAGCATTTCTGAGGGACCGGCGAAGAGGATTCCCACTTTGTGGGGGAACGCAGTCTGCCTTGCCAGCCTTAAGTGGGACCCCCAGGGGATGACGTCAATGCCCTCCTCTATGAAGAAGCTACGCAGACTCCTGCAAACACACAATGTGCTTAAAAAACCTTCAAAAAAAATACTTTTTGGGTTCATTAAATTCTTTGCTTGGAACCATTATCTTTTACAAACTCTTTCCATTCAGAAAAGGTAGCAAAAATGGTCCAATTTTTGGCAAACAAAAAAACATGTTTAGTGATTTTTTTCGGTCTCGTTGATTTTTTTGAAAACAATTTTCATAGTTCTCTTTCCCAGCATATATAGCAGCGTTCAAAAACCATAAATGATACCCTTCCGTACACTGATAGCTAATAAGCTCCAAGTTGTGGCCACTAAAAAACGTTCAAAAGTAGTTAGTTTTGGTTTCATTAAAATTTTTGTTCAAATGGTTATAACCCCCCAGCCTAGTAAAAATATATTCTTCCTACTATCCTGCACACTGTTGTTTTGCTATTATGGAAGAGGGGCTATAGTTTACTGGAAGGCCACTTATAGGAAAAAGATCATTAATTCTAGGATAAATTAAAGCTGCTTCTGAAGATTACCAAGTTAGTTTCACCAGTATGAAATAGAAATCGATCTCGTCTGAATTTGAATATTTTAGAAATTAAAATTTTAAAGCAAAATGTATCTTAGTAAAAATTTTAGAAGTAAATGTAAAAACTGGGAGAAAAATTAATAAAACTACGATTTATTTTCCCCCAACCCCAAATAAAGCATCAGTTTTGTGGCGAATGGTTTTACAAGGTTGTCAAAATATGTTTGTTTAGTTATTCACTCTGCATGGAAATTATCGGCTCCTTTTCCTTTTCTCCCATAAGCACACATAAGCTTGATTTTTATCGTGTAACGAAGGGTTTTACAAGGTTAAGTAGCGAGACTTAAGGTGTTTGTCAGGGCTCAATCAGTCAGCTCAATCAGTCGTTTTCATAACAATCGGAAATTGTGAAAAAAAATGTAAAAATTCGCAGTTGGGGAGCGGGAGTAGAAAAAAAGCCGTAAAAACGCTGAAACTACAAGTGAATGTTCACCTTTTCACATTCATGTAGAACTGGGGTGAGTCCAAATCAGGCGGGTTGTTTGGAAAAGGAGAGGTGACTTGGACCACCCTGTCCATGTTCTCTCTCCATTCGTCTATCTTGTGGTAGAACTCCTCCAGCAGTTCGCTGCAGATGTCCTCTGTGATCAGTTCCGAAGAGAGGGGGACTCGGAACAACTCCTGTTTCTTCATGCAACACACCAGTACTCCTCGGATCCCGAAGTCAACCAGTGGCTCCTCTGACACAAGTTAGATTTTATAAAATAAGTAGCTCTTTTTCCTCCACACTCAAGTTAAGACCATTTATCCACGAGGGAAAGGACCAACATACCAGCTGTACAGCTCATCACGGCGAACTGCTGTTGTGCCCGTGCTTAAAACTATATGCAATTTTTTTGGTTATTTTTCTGGGCCGGGTAATGTTGCCTCATCCTCAAGCAACGAGCGCGGATCATGGGGGGCTTCGAACATCCGACCCTTCGATTGAGAGGCGGAGACGTTACCACTTCAACACCCCTCCTCCTCCTCCTCCTCCTCCTCCTTCACTTGCAATTTTTTTTTTGCTCACCTTGTCCGATTGTTACAAAAATTGACTAATTCGGCCATGAAATACATGCGACTTGGTCTCTACATGCTCAACCTTGTAAACCCCTCGACCTCTCGTTATACCATAAAACTGATGCTTATGTGAGGCTGAGGAGGGCCAAAAGTATCGCGAAGGCAGAGGAACCAAGTAGAAAAATGAGGACAACCTAGTATTTTGCGCATGTGTGTCAATTCGTCTTTCAGCCCCCCTTTGGAGGCCAGTCTGCTCAGATCCACAGTCCACACGACTGCCCAATAACTGCCACCTCTCAGTGCCTCCAGAGCATGGGCACTGCTGTTGAGTGCCTCGAAGGAGATCTCCGTCAACTCAAGAGTGAACGGGGCAAAAGAGGCCATTTTGGACATGCGAGTGTCCGCTGTGACCTTCAACGTCACTTCAAATTGCTTCTGAAACAAGCATGAGCGTGTTGCTCTTTTTCTTTTTCCCCACCTGCAAATGTTTAGAAGTCAGAATTTTGTTTAAATTGTTCGATTGTTACCAAATTTTTCATGCGAACTAATAAAGCTATGACAAACATATTTGGTCTTCATAATTAACTTCGTAAAACCACTCGCTACACCATAAAATTGATGCTCGTGTTAAGTGAGGGGATTGTGGAAGAACTATTAGCGTTATTCACATTGCGGTTGCTTTTTTTGCTCTTCCGTTGCCCCGTAACCTGCTTAGCCAACGTAATTATTGACAAGCTGCCCCCCCCCCCCCCCCACCTCACATGAACATCATTTTTTGGGCAACTAGTTGTTTTACATAGTTGAGTATTAGTGTCTAAATGTGTGTATCATGACCTAAAAAGTCCGCGTGTCACTTTTCATCGTGAAAGGAGAAAAGAGTCTACAAACTTTCCAAAGTTGCCGTTTCCTTTTTTTTAAGTTTTTTTGAGCAATTAGCTGCGTTTATCCCTGGAAACTGATCATGAAGTGGCGCTCTTTGAAAAAACCTTATTGTTCTCTTGTGAGAAATCCTAATTTCAAAAGTGTGAAAAAATGAAACTGCGATTATTTTTCTGACCTTGACAAAGTATCTGAAATCGGGACACTGAGTTGCACCCGCAATGAAGGAGCTCTTCCCACTCTTCTCTCGTCCAATCACCAAGATCCGAATCAGTTCTTCCTCGTCTCGTACCGCGAAACTTGCAAATCTCCGACTCAGACACTTTTCATCTTCCGGTGCAAACTTGGCAGTCCTGTAGGCTCATACCCATTATAGCCCTCTGCATGTACAAAAAATATAGTCCCATCTTGCGGTGATGCTCTTTTTCTACCTCCCTGATGCTTTTGTGAGGTGGGATGGGAAAAGAAAATGGGGTGTTTGTATTATAGGGGCTTTTTCCACCCCCCTTCTCACACATGAAATTCAATCTTAAAAAAAAACATTTCAACGTTGTCATAATGCAATAAAATATGGAGCGGTGAGCAAACTAACATTTATGAACAGATTTGTTTTTCATACCTTACATCGTAACATCACGCATTTAGCCATAAAAACACGTAAAACAACTGAGAAAACGGAAAATTTGAAATGTAGGGGGAAATCAAAAAGAGTCTATGCTAAAATTTTATACGGGCAATAATGGAAAAGACCTGTGTTTGTTCCCACACTTTTCACGCTCCTTTTCCAAGAAATTCTTCAGGTCATTTTCGCCTTCAATCTCCTCTTTCTTCAATCCAAGTTGTGTCATTTTTAAAAATCAAACAGCTATCTTGCGCTAAACTCAGTTCACATAAACAGAACATGCGCCGATTCTGGCAGAGAAAACAAATGTATCTTCTTCCGTTGATCAATGTTTATCCTTCCTTCAGTTTTGGTGAAATTAATAATTAATTGCAATTTTAGTGCATTTTAAAAACGCACGTTTAAGAAATAAATTTTAATGAAAGGACTATTTGTACTGATTGTACGTTGGATCAAACTGACTTTAAAACTCTGGAAGGAAATCAGGGGCGGTTCTAAGAACTTTCGAGGAGAGAATTTTCAAATTTTTGTCGATATTTTGTGAGGTTGACCAAATTGGTTTTCCGAGCGCTCCCAGAACACTATAAAGACACTATTTTGACAAAATTTTCTGCACCGGAGGCCAATTTAAAAAAAAAACAGGTCAAAATGCCGTTTTTGGGCTTTTTTTGGAAGTTTTTCTTCCAAAAAATTGCCCATTTTCGGCGCTCGCTCCCTTTTAAAATTGGTATATATTGGCGCCAAAAATGCTTCTGGAAAAATTTTGGGGTTTTCACTGCAAAAAAATGTCAAAAAATACCAAAGGGGATCCTTTAAAATTTGAGGGAGCAGAATCCCTGAAAGGAAGCGTCTCCTCCCACCCCACCCCCTTGTTAATTTTTTTCTCCTTCCTTATGTAAGCATACTTTTTTGATGTGACGAGAGGTTCTACGAGTTTTATAACAAGACCAAATATCTTTCGAGTTAGTCATTCAAATTGTGCGCTCTTTTCCAGTTCTCTCCCTTTTAATTTGCTGATTTTTTTGTCATCAATTTTTGAAACTTGATTTTGAAAACGAAGTTTTTTATTGGTACAATTCCAACTACAGGAATTTGGAAATTTAACAAAAAAAATATTCTATTCAAACCCTACACCAAAAATGCGGGAAGCTATATTGAAATTACCGGCAAGGCATGAAAAAAAAACATGAAAATGAATTTTATCGAGCTGTATAAATTGTGTTCTGCTATAGAACTTTCGATTGAATTTCTGCAAAGCAGAAAAACTTTACATGGAACAAGATACTGTGAATGTGAACACGAGATGAAATTAATATTTCGGATCGCAAAGATCGATGGAGATGTGGTCAAAAAAAATGCAGAAAACAAAAACAATTGAAAGCAGGAACGTCGCTAGAAGGCACTCATCTCAGCTATCAACAGGTGACACTTTTCTTGTACTGCTGAAAAATATGCTTCGATCAAGTTTTGTGAACAGGAACTTGGAATTGGTCATACCACGACTGTCAATTGAAATAATTTTTGTTCGAGAAGTTTGTGCATAGTTTCTTTATTAGAATCCAAAAAAATTGAAGGAAAACGCAACACCGTTGAAACTGATGAGAATCAATTTGTAAAAAGGAAGTACAATAGGATCAGAGCGGTCAGAGAACAATTGGTGTTTGGAGGTATCTACAGGAAAACTGGAAATTGTTTTTTGTATGTGTTGGAAAATTACACTAAAGATTTGCTCATGCCCATCATAAAAAAAAAGCAATACATCAGATAGTAACATTTATTCGGACGAGTGAAAATCTTACAATGATATAGAAAATTAGTGGTGATTTTCTTTTAAAAAGGGTGATTTTCAGCACAACTTCTAAATGCTAAGTGTATGTAAAAGCTTTCAAGAAAAACTAAATTTTTTTCAATTGGCAAGATTATTTTTTTCGATTTATTTTCATTAACAAAACTGCTCGCTGAGAAATTATCACGGCTCCTTACCCTCCTACCAATCCCGCCCCCGCCCACCTAACATTGGCATCAATTTTAGTGTATAACAGCTTTTTCCACTTTCCCACTTCATTTCATTTTCTGTTTCGAGAAATAAGAAACAGGTTCTTTTAGTTTTTGTCTCCACAATTCTTTTTTTTCCAGTTTTTTTTATTGTGTTACATGCTATTATGGCTGAATGCGAGATGCTACGATGTAAAGTATGATAAAAAATTTGTGCGTACAAGAAATAATTTTTTCACCATGTAAAATGTCTTTTCAGCATGTTAACGTGAAATTAGTGTTTCAAAGTGAATAGCAAATGAGGGAGTGGAAAAGAGCCAAGAAAATTTGTCCTAATACAATGAATTTTTGCATGTTGAATAAAATTGTCTATCATGCTTGTACTTTTTGTTACTGTTTATAATAAAGTGACAGATTATTTGTGCCCGGGGAGTTTTTTTCCAGACAAATTTTGACTTCTTGAATATCAATTTTCGACGGAATATTTTAAAGTAGTGTCAAAAAGCAATTGGCTACAATATCACCTCTGAACAGGCTTCTATGTCAGCTACCATTCGAATGAATCTGGCGTTTATTTGTGATATCTGGCTTTAAGTGAACGAATAGTCTGAATGCATACTTCCTCATTGTTCACACGTTCATAACGGAAGTAACGCAATATTTGTGCTCGGTGGTTTTTTCTTCAGATAAATTTCGGCTTTTCAATGAGCCATTGTTGACGGCATTTTGTTATATCATTCAAAAAGTTTTGTTGTCCTGAGCTTTAATTTAAAAAAATATTTCAGATGGGATCTTTTTTTTAAAGGTACGGGGCCTAAAATTTAGCTAATTTGGACTCACTTGGATAAATAACGCAAGATTTATTTGGTGCTACCAACGCGTAAGCAAAGACTTAATCCTTAGAATATGTTCGAGAATTTTTCGAGCTTAGAATGTTTCGACAAGGAATTGAAGTATGCTATTTGGTCTATTTGTTAATGCCCTACATCCGAAAGTATATCATTTGTACTTTACATAGCGTGTACGGGGATCAAAACGAACACTGCTTTTTTTCAAATTTTACATTGTAAAAACACGCATTTAGTAAAAAAAAACACGATCACAGTGAAATGAATGAGAAAGAGCCATTTTTGGTCTATTCTTTGGGTTTTTGGTAATCCACCCTCTATGGAAGCAATTGAAAGCTGTTTACTTGAATCAAAACTCTTGAAACAATGAAAACTGCAAACTGCTATTCATTTGCCGTATGAGCATTTTTGTTTAGATTTTTGAAGAACAATGAATGTTTATACTTAGGAGGGTTTTTTATTCAGTCAGTTTTCAATTTTAACGCTGCATTTTTGACGGAATCTGTTTTTATTATCTGAATTTATTGTTGTATGAACCTCAACTTTAAAAAGATATCTCTTATTAAAATTCAGAAATCACAAATTTAAAAAAGTTAAAACTTCCAAAAAAATTGGAATTTTTCTCAGGTTTTTTTTAAACAATGAGCTTGTGATCGACGATAGAGAGCAGTCATAATGTTCAAGAACGTACGAGCAGTCTTATTTTGCCTTATAACTGCAGGCCACAAAGTAACCAGTTCTTACATTTGATTTCCCAATTATTTATTTTCTTATTTTATTCTATTTAATTGCAGAGAATGGGAGAAAAATTTGTTCTGCAGTGTTTTTAAGTTGGTTTTCTCAGTTTGTTTAAGTTTTCAAGCTCAACCTTGCTCCGCAGCTAGGTTTTTTCTCGCGCAGTTTCAGTTTGTACGAGGTTGAAGGTCGTATCAGATGGATAAAAACCATTTCAATAGTTATTTTAAAAGAATATTCAGAAAAAATTTCTCATGGCTGCAAGAAAAACGGATATAGTTTTTTGTTTGTTGTTGAACTGCCTTGACAACGCATGGATTGAAGGGCAGAAAGATAGCCAAAATTGTGGCCTGGTTTTTGATTGGTTTTTCTTGAGTTCTACTTTTTTTCAGATCCATTTCATTTTTTGTTTAATGCAGTTGCTGTCCTAACCCTAACCCTAACCCTAACCCTAACCCTAACCCTCCCCCACCGGGCGTTATTCTTGAACGGGGGACTATTTATTGGTAGAATTTGGGAGGGAAGCAGGTTGACGTTGAGCAACTGCCGCCTGTTCTGGGGGTAAAAAATTCTCTAGTGGGTAAACTTTAAACTGGGGGTAAATTTTAAATTTTGACTAAAGAAGAAGGGCAAAGCATAAATGGCAGAAAAGTCATGGAATTTACTAAAAGACGTTGCACAGTTTGCAACTTTCTTGAAAAACTTGCAAAAATTCTGCAAAAGATAATCGAAATTAGTTCTGAAATCAAAGTGGATTATAATCTGTTATAATAGTTTATAATGGAGTTTTATTTCAAAATTAGTCAACTATAATGGATTATTTTGGCAAAAGTATTTTATTTCAGTTAGGGGCGGATCTAGAATTTTCTCGAGGGGGGAGGAGGTTTTTCAAAAAATGATTCGAAATTTTGACGACCTTTTTTTAGGCTGACAAATTTGATAAGCACTAAAAAGACGCTGTTTTGGCCCAATTTCTTGCGCTGCAAAAATTTTTTTGAACAAACAGTTCAAAAAAGCCGTTTTTTGGCACTTTTTGGAAAATGTTGTCAAAATATCGCGTTTTTTTGGCGCGCGCTCCCTCTCAAAATTACTATATATTGGCGCCAAAGGCGCCTTTAGAAAAATTTTAGGATATTTTGGATTTCTTAAAAAGTACCAAAGGGTCGACAGGAGGTCGAATCCCTAACGGGGGCGTCCGCCCCTCGCCCCCCTCCCCCTAAATCCGCCCTTGATTTCAGTACCTAAAATAAATGGATTAAATTAGATTTTTTTTTCAAAATTAATCGATTGTAATGGCAATATAATCCATTTCGTGGTCTAAACTTTGCATCTGTAATGGATTAAAATGGATTATGTTCATCTCTGAAATCCATTAAAATCGATTAGAACCCATGGACGCAATTTTATATATCATTTGAAAGGTATTAACGTTATAAGCTCAAATTTCAAAATATAATTTAACAATCATCCTTTTTTTAAAAAAATATCGAGGGTTTGAAAATTACCAATTTATCCAATTTGAGATAATTACCGTGAAGGGAATTGCTTGAATGGAAACTGTTGCCCTTTCAACCAGGTGTTTTTGTATTTTTCTAATGGTTTTAGTTTGATAAGAACGTATTTCATGGCGACCGACATAGAGCCAGAGAAGACGCGATGTTGTTAGGGCGGCATTGTTAGGACGCAGACAAAGACATAGGTATCATTTTTTACTCCAGTTTCTTAGAATAACCTTGAGAAAAAAGTATTTAAAGTATCAATCATTTAATTCGTCAGGAAGACGTGGACACCTCTTCTGCTCCAGTGTCACGAGAGGGGTGAAAATTCCTTTTGTTTCCAGCAAGTTCACAATAAGCCGCACGTTATACGGGTCTGGATTGCGGTCACGTGACAAAACCCAGACACCTGTTATCTTATGCCCTCTAATCTGCTGACAATGGTACAGCAGGGCGAACTTGGACCCCTGATGGACGAGGAAGAAGTTGGGTTGTACATGCGAGGGGTACTTGTCGTCGGGGTCTATGATGAAACTTCCTACTGAGTTGTGGCTCGCTTTCTGGGTCACATCTACTCGGCTGATGTACCTGTCCACTCCATTGAAGACCGTAAGGTTCACAGCCAAGAACCAATCTAAGCAACAGCGTCTTTCCAACATTGTTCCGCTCATTTTTCTACACCCCCCCCCCCCCACCTGCGAAATTTTATTAGTAAAATTTTGTTCACATTATCAGATTTTTACATAAATTGGTATGCGGACTAATTAGGCTATGACAAACATATTTGGTATTCATACTTAACCTTGTAAAACCACTCTTTGCAACATTAAATTGATCCATATCTGATGTGGGGAAAAGGGAAAAGAGCCCATTTTTCACCAGATAGTTTTGATGAGAAACAAAAATTACTTTAAATATCAATGAATTCATATAATTTGAATTTTTGAAAAACCATTCGCATAAGTGGAAAATTTTATCCAATTTTCAGATTGGAATTTATATTATAGTGTAGAAAAAGTATAGCAAAAACTAAGTTTAGCTAAATAAGTAAGACCGTTCTGAGTTAGGACCGAGTTGGTTAACTCATAGAGTAATTTCGGATAGGGTACACCGTCTGCTCGTCACGCTATCTTATTTTCGGCCGGATAGATTCGTGCAACTTCTTAGTCTAATACCGATCCTAATCTTACTCTTATACTATCTAGTCTCAGGTTGTTTAACTAGTCTCTGCTAGGCTCAATAGATCTAGGGTATACTGGTTTATTGCGGCTGTTGAAGTGCTCGGGAGAGTCCAACTAATTTCTAAGTTAAATTCAAATCTCTCTGGTGCTGAAATTACAAGTAATTTCAGCACTTACAAATAAGTGGGTTGTTAGTTAGATGGATCATGATTGGTTAATATTAAATACTTTACATTGGTAAAATATCTAATTTATCCAATCATAAAATGTAGTTTAGATCAGGTTCCACCCATCCGGGTTTTACAGAGTTTTTTAGAATAGTTCTTCTGCAATTCGAAGGATGGATGATGGACCTTGGTGTTTGGCGAACATCTTATTTCTTCTGTTTCCTTTTTATTAAAGAAGTTCCAGGAAGCTGGAGTTAGAGACATAAGACGTTGTGTCTTCTAGTGACAACGACTAAGTCTTTGCAACAAACTCAAATCTGATTTCAGAATGGTTTGCTATGTCAGGTTTTTCTGTTCTGCGTGGAGATTGTGCGTGGAGGGGATGCCTGGTTACTCGGATCTGTACGTATACTTGAACATCGAGGTGGTCATTGGTCTAGTTCAATGAAGTCCTTTTCTGCGAAGTCAAGTCGTACTCTAAATCCTTTGAGTTGTGATTGTGAGTGGCATATCGATTGTGGTTGGTCATTCCCTCTCGAGTGTAGTGGGATCGTTTTGTCTTTAGATGTTCGTCCTTGGTGTTGTATTCTGATCTATGTATTGCATAATGTAATTTACATTTTATAAAACATTTATTAGTTTAAAATTTTTTAATTATGATTTTAGTTAGTTGTTTTCACAAAAGCTTTTTGTTTTAGTTCGGTTATTTTGAAGAGTTACTCACACTTGAGTAGCTCTTATTAAAAATAGAGGTGTGGTCACAAAGCGTGGATGTAGCGCGGTGGGTTAGGCCGGCTATAGAGCATGCTCAGGACGTCCTTCCTGGTGGGTTAGGCCAGGAGTGGGAGTATGATTTCATGCGGTTTTTATGAGGGGTCCTGTTATGTGACAACGTTTTATGTTGGGTTTATTGTGGTTTTTCTTATGTCTTGTTGGTTATGTCCTTTTTCCAAAAAGCAAATTGTTCGTGGTATGGGTTTGTCTTTCGACTTTTTTGTGTTTTATTATTTCTTTCTTAGACTTTATAATAGTCTTCAAAAGAATAAATTATCCAGTTTTAAACTGGGTTAATCCGGTTTGGGTACCGTTGGTTTCCTTTTCTTAGTCATGCTGTTATTCTATGATTTGTGGTATTTAGTAAGCTGCGTTGGTTAGTTTTGTTTAGTATATGATTCCTTTCCAACCGAGTTAAAGGAAGGTTTGAAACATGTTATTATATGTTAGAGTTGTTGAGTGTGAAAACTAAAATTCATTATTTTAAACAATTCTTCGTGGGCGAGCTGTGCGAGTGTGGATAGAATTTCTGTGCGAATGAATGAAAATATCAAAAGGTTAGTACTGCAATTGCATTTTATTAATTTACTGCATAGAATTTGGAAATTTACTGCTAGTTATGGGGGAATTTTAAGTTACAAATTTTCATCATAATTAGATTTACTGCTTGTGGGGAAAATTTTAGAAATGAATTTACTGCATTGGTATTAAATTTATAAATTTATAAGTGTAAGAGATTAATAGAATTGTTGAAGTCTGTTTGATGAAATTTGCGATCTTTATTTGTTTTTTGTGGTTTTTGTAGGTGATCGTCGGATGAAGGCTAAAAATCTAAGGAAAACATGGATAAAGTATGGTGAGTTTTTTAATATTTCAATTAGTTAGTAATATTCATTTAATTCATACTTACCTGTTAGTCGTCGGGGAAAAAACCGTGGGGGAAGATGTCGTGAATTAGTTCTGAAGTTGTTAGTAGTTTAGCTAAGATGCGGATGATATTTTTAGTCTGAAGCAGTGGCCAAAGCAATTGGAGTGCCTTGATAGTGGTTAGTTCTTCAGTGCCAACTGCAAACTCATAAGGTGTGTTTTGGATTAGATTATATAATTTGTGATTGAATTTAGTGTTGTGGATGAATTCTAAAATTGGGATTTCTATGGGTTGTACAAACTCGTGCGGGATAAGGAAGGGTCGGGATTCTTCGGCGTTGAAGGTCTTGGTGATGGGACAGAAGATGTACATTTGGGTTATGGGGTCATAATTACGAAGAATACCATGAAGGTTAGTATCTTTAATGCAATATGTGAAATTTAGGAAAAATGGTGAAGTGTATTTGGAATTAATGAATTGAAAACGATGGTGTGGTTGTCTAGAGGGTGTGTGTAGGTCAAAGTGATTTTGGATGAAGCGATAATAACTATATGTGTGGGTTTGTTTAGTGCGCAACATAATATCGTGTGAGCAGTGTAAATCTCTTTCGTGTGGTGCAAGGAAATGAAAGGTTAGTGAAAATATTTGGAAGCGTTCTTTAAAACTTTCGTATGCTTGTGTGTCTGTTAGTGCTTCTGAAATAATGTGATCAAACTTTCGGTCGAAGATGTTTAGTGTAAATATATATGGTGTCTTGATGAAAAATTTCTCGGTAATTTGTGGATTAGCGAAGCGATCGTCGTCTAAGAATTGATCTTGGTTAGCTCTGATGATGTTGTGATCATAGTATTCGAGTGTATATTCGTTAGCTCTAGGTGCAGTGTGTGTTTTTAGTGATTTTTTATATCCAACGTAAGTAAATTGTCTAGCGGTTAGTGGTGTAGTGAGTCGATATAGCATGTCCGTATTTCGCTCTATATCGATGTGAGTGTTAGATAAAGGTAAGCAAAGAGGGTTAGTAAAATGATAATATGAGGTCCAAGAGAGAGTGGGCATTAAAACGTATTCATCTACAAAGTTGCGTGTTTCGTTAGTGTCGTGGGGGGTGTTTAAGGTGTATTGTGGGAATGAGGGTAAGGTGATGGCTAAAAATTCTTTTGTGTTAGTATGCTTGGGGTGGTTGATGTATTCACGGGCTGTTCCTGGTTTTGCTGGGAAAGGATGGTTGGGGAACTTTCTTTTAAAAGTGCGGTACGCTCTATTAGTGTTGAGTGAAGATTCAGTTGATGTGGATGATGGTGCTAATGATTCAGTATAATTTGAAGAGGGTGTAGGGGTAGGGGGGTTGGATGAATTGATTGTGGAGGAGTAGGTTGGGGTAACTTGGGAAGCATAAGAGGGTGTGGGAGTGATTGGGTCAGGGTTATTGGATAATATGGGTTGAAAAGGGGGTTGAGAAAAATTAGAAGAGTTATGAAAATTATTGGATGGGGATGGTTCTGAGTCGGCAAATTCATCGGGGGTTTCAATATTCGGGTTGTTGAGTTGTGAGATGGAATATAAAACTGAGATGTGTGAATTAGTGTCGGAATTCATGCCTGATGTTACATTACTAGGTGGAAAATCGGGTGGCGGAAAAGCAAAAAGTGGTATTATTGGGATTGGAGAGGTAAGATTGGTTGGGTGGGAATTTGATCGGTGTAGTGATCCAAGTTGGCGGCTCATCGTGGGCTAAAAAAATGATTATTTTGAGACTGAAAAGCGGTGGTATGGGGTTGTTCAATAATTTGTTCATAAGTATTATCATCTTGTGACTGGTGTGTCATTATATGTTGGATGGGACTTTGTGATGTGGTGAGTCGAAAATTTGGATTATGTGTGATGGCTAAATTTCGAAAATTTCGTGGGACTAGGGATAGTGGATGGTTATTTGGTAGGGGTGGTAATTGTGGTGCCGTTGGCGTTATGTCTACATTGTTATGTTCTTCGTCGTATGTATTTTGTCGTGTTGCTATTTTTGTGTTATATTCTTTTATTTGTGCGTCTAAAAGAATTTTGTTTATAGATGTAGAAAAGATTCCAAAAAATCCTGCAAAGAGTATGCGTGCTACGCTTGCTTGTCTGTTTACTTGTGTGTGTATAGCACATGTGTTGTAGATTCCTTTTAAAAGTGAGAAAAGAAATCCAATAAAGTTAAACATTGCGTATAAAATAGTCAATTTTTCTAAGATGTAATAGGGCCATCCTAGAAAATCGAGGATCTCATTTTTGAGTGTAACAAAGCTAAAAATGTTAATTGGTGATATATCTTGGGGACGGTATTTTTCACCGTTTAGATATATATAATCTTTAATGTCTTTAAAATATCCGCTATAGTCTTGCGTGTAGATATCGGCAAATCCTGCGGTTTCTGCAAGTTTGCGTAAATTTTGGTCTATTGATTGTCTTTGTATAGTGTCCATTTGTGTTAATAATTCTTGGAATTGTTGTGTTCTAATGTGATGTTGAATATCTGATTTTGAATAGATTCCTATTGATTGTAAGTCTATATTTGGGTTTCGAGCAATAGCGCGAATGCTTTCTGGTGAAAATTTTTTGAGTGATTGCATTAATGTGGGATATGGAGTGAGAAGATAATATTTAT